GTATTTGGTGCCTCTTTGTACCATTATCTATGTGTTGAAATAAATAATAATAAATAATTATTGAGAAACATATGATTAATATAATGATGATGATCATAATGATTAGGATTCTCATTGATAATGACTTATCAGAAGAAAGTAATGTGAGATATTACTTTTATTCAATCTAATGAATAAAAGGAAGAACATATTGAATTTCTAGATTTCGTGATATATGTAAATGGGTGTTCTTCTTCTTCTTCTTGTTCGTCGTCTTCTTCCAAAATTCTATACTAAAGAATAAAAAGAAAACAGTATGAAACATTCGTGACTTATGAGAAATGAATAATCTAGGGTTTTATTATTTTCTTTCTAACATCCCTTTTGAATAAAGATAGTAACATGGAGTTACATTGAAGTTATTTGAAATTGAGTAAATTACATTAACAATGAATTTTAGAATGTATTTAAGAATAAGTGAAATTCGAGAATGATATTGAAATCAAATATGAAATGGGAATTTTATAATCATTAATGAATAGTATGTTAAATTGTTGAAATCGATCAATTGAAAACCTTGTTTGGTAAGTTCACTTGGTATTGTTTGGCTTGTATCTTCTCATTGAGGTTTAAGACTGCAATTGATCAGTCTGTTATTGGTATATGTGCATACTGTGCGTATGCTTAGATATTACCTTAATTCACAAGTATTATAAGCAAAGATGGATAGTGGCTAGCAGTGGAATCCAGGACGCGCGTTTCGTCCTGTTTAGGACTCGTCAGCTGGATGTACCTGCATCTCAGAGTTGATGTTCACTCTAGGACTCGAACTCAGTACCGTTCGCTTCAAACTCCATCGCGTTATCCACTTAGTTACTGAGTCCTGATAGCCACTTGCTTGTGCAATGGGGTGAAGTTTAATTCACTTGATATTGTTTTACTTGAATCTTCCCATTGATGTTTTTTTAGGACTGAAATCGATCAGTCTGTTATTGGCATATGTGCATACTGTGCGTATGCTTAGATATTACCTTAATTCACAAGCTATTTGTAAGCAATGATGGATAGTGGCTAGCAGTGTTTGGTAAGAGTTTTGTAATCTTTAGCATCAATTAACGGGATGAACATGTAATCTTAAGGGAGCTATACTCTATGTAGGATTCAAACCTGAATTCCTCAAATTTTTTGCCTGAAACTATGGCCTGTCAAATAGCACGTAATAAATTCGCCAATTTAAACGCTGACTTCTGTGATCTTGTCCATGTGCTAAACCAATCATGTGTTAACCAGTATGAGTAACCTAGAGTCAATTTGATGTTTATATTGGTTCTTGAAATTTTCACTTTTAACCTAGCCCAACCCATTCGTATGTATCAGACATACGTGGTTTATATACAAATAGACCACAACACATCACACTACAAAATGAAAAATAATTATACAATATCAAGCCAAAAGTGGATGTGAGTGCAGGATACTGTAACTAATAAATGGGGAATAAGTTAAGGATGATAAATCGTATAACAGTAGTCAATAAGTCAAATGAAAGCTTATGATAATAGGACTACCAATATATGTAATAGTCCATAAATAACTCATAGCAGTTACTATTAATTTATTCTTTGTTCAGATGTAACAGAAACGTTATAGCTCAGCCATTTCATTCTCAACTGGTCTCCTGTAGGAGTAAAATGTTTCCAGTTGATTAATCATTGAGTAGTATGATCAGTGTCATGTTTGTATAATTGTCTAGTGTTTTTCTCTGTCTATTAAGTTATAACAAGACCCATTAGAGTATTAGACCAACATGACATTGACTACTACTAAACCATCAGTTGATGGCTTAGAATTTTACTAAATATGACGGTTAACAACATTCCTTTTTATAGTTGAACTGTAAAAACACTTACATCATAGACTATTGTACGATAGTTTGATCAACTAATAAATGTTGTTTAAATAAGTGGAAATGACCAAGTATTTTCTTAGGTTCATACCAGACGTTTGAGACCAACAAAAAGCCCATTTCAAAAGTGTTACTAATCGTTTTCAGTTTTCGTCCGTCAAAATGGAACGAGACCTTATTCACTGTTTAGATGAAAAACTCTAACATTCTGTTAATAAAGCTATAAATCATTCTAAACAATGAAAGCTTCATAAGGTGGTTGAATGAAAAGAGAGTGATACAAACTATTTATTCCTACAAGGGATTTTTGGAAACTCTTTGACATCATGGATTACATCACTAACTGATCATAGTCAGATAATCACTGAAAACGAAGAATCATCAGTCAGCTGTTTCTTCTTGATATGAGACTCATCATAAGTGCGTAACCTTGAGCCCACCAACAATCAAATCAAAAATAATTAGGTATCTTGACGAACGTTTAATCTTTAGTCCCTTGAACCAGGATGCAGTAGTTTGCATGTTCGGAATTTTGAGCCATCATCATGTATTATCATCGGTTAATGACTATCTCATAGCCGACATAACTGAATTCAACATTAGGAACGACTTGAAATACATGAAATCAATCACTACTCAGTGATTAATCAGTTATAAAAATATCTCGGTCCTGAATGAGTTTAGTTGTGGCCCGCATAGCTCAGTGTAGCGTCTCAAACTATGAAACTAAGTGACGACAGATTGATCTCGTCAGGAAGCACCACTTCTCTCAAGACTACAGGCACATTTTATTGAAACTTTGTACAGGGATTTTCGCTGACAACCTCTAACCACCACTTTACGTGACTGAGATTCACTGATGAAAGTTTTTGATTAGAACTCTAGGAAAACCTAATCAAAACTAGTCGATAATGAGTTACTCGCAATTAATAATTATATCAGAACATATTTTATGCATAATTTAAGCAGTTTTAATACGAAAACAAGTTATAATAATAAGTATAAAATGCCTGGATAATCTCACTTGCATTGTAAAGTTAAAAGCTTCTCTGGTATTGATAATCAAACGAGAAGATTTCTAACAAAATGATTTCGGATTTCTTTCTGCAACAATTTGATATAATAATAAACCTTTGTAATAGGCAGTCGGAGACAAAAAAAAATGATCAATCATTCCACAATGTAACATTGAATTTAGTCAAATAAACCTTATTGTCAATCGTCCAGTAGCATAGAATAATAAAATTGAATAGTAAAAGTAATTACTAACTACAGTTAAATAATGAAAGTTTTGTCAAAGAAGATTAATAAATATGAATTTATGGTTACATAAATCCTGGACTAACGTTAACGTACAAAACGAGGAGAAAAATTCAAGAAATAACAACACTCATTAGTATATGGTTATGGAGATTGGTGAGTTTTTATTGAGAGAGTTATTTATCGGACACAATGGAAGGTGGTCACGCAAAATCATTAGATATTAACACCGTTGGATGCTGAATCGGTGGTCTAGATGTTAGGCGTTCTTACGTGAGACCAAAGGTCCTAGGCTCGACTCATGTATGTGGAATCGTGATGACACACTGCTAAGGAGTATCATACGAGAAAGAAACGACTTTTCAATGATTCTACGATTCCAATGGTTATTTAACTTAGATCAGTTCATGATATTAATTATCACGTTTCACTCCTGTTACTATCATTATTACTAATTAAATTAATGTGAATAATTTCAACAGTTGAGATCATGAGTGAATTGAAGTTAGACCACCATGAAAAACCTGGAAGCACTGAATGTCCGTTTCGTCTCATTGTGAGAATCCTAAGCAGTGCTTATCCACGATCTCACCCATGACCTATCAGTCTCGCGTGCAAGCGGTTAACCATTAAAACCCTGAGCCAGTTTGCATCCAACGGTGTTAATGTCTATCTTCAGCCAATCCATGAAATTGAATAACACATCCACCATATCGCACAAGAGACCCGATTGAACTCCACTGATTACTGCTTCTCACTAGAACCCCAGGAAATACCTCTCGGAGACCATCATCAGTGAGCATATGTTGATTAATATGATAAGTGTTTTTGTAGATATTACAGTAATTTTAATAGTTGAGATCATGAGTCGATTAAAGCTAGACCACCATAGAAAACCAGAAAGCACTGGACAACCGTTTCGTCCTACTGTGGCACTCTTCAGCAATTCGCATCCACGATCCCATTTCGCAAATTTCAAACCCAGGACCTAGTGGTCTCGTGTACGAACGTTTAACCTCTAAACCAATAAACCAGTCAGTATCCAACAGTGTTAATGTCTAACTTCAATTAATCCACGAAATTGTTTGATATATCCATCATTATCTTCAATGATTTTAGATTTTTAATTATTATTTCAATATGTATATTTCTATTGCTATAACTTTTAATCTGATGAAATAAAAACATTAACAATCAAAATAATACTGTTAATTAATGTTTTCAATATAAAAAAACACACCATAGTTACTAATATTCAACATTCCAATTTCATATGTTTCCCACCCTTTAACTATTGATCTTTTATCCAATAATTAAAAGAGATTTTGTTTTTATGGGAAATTGCGTAAAAATGTTATGGATTCATTTCTTTTTTTTCTTTTTTTTGTTGTTGTTGTTGGTTAGTTAGGTGTTGTTTATAAAATAACCATCAGCTAATTATTAGTGTGAACCTTTCTATGTTATATCAGACAAATTTCTTATGGATTAAAATGTTGTTGTTGTTGTTGATGGTGGTGGTGGTGTTTTTTTTTCAAACCGTTAAAAAATATGACGTTTTATTTCAATGAATATAAATTATACAATCATTATTACAATGATACAAGGGTATAATGAATGACGTAATGGTGTATTGACTTATCATTTAGACAAAGATTATTATTATTCATGATTAATGAGTGTTTCTTTTCTCTTTTTTCTTTTTTCTTTTTTCTTGAAAAAGAATGAAATAATTACGTATATAAATTAGTTTACAATCTGCTAACTGATAATATACATAAATTTTGTTTACTAAAAGTACTTAGAAACTGTATAAGTAAATGATTCTAATCAATGTGAATAATAATCTTTTATATAGACTATCGATTAATGTCATTGTGAAAACAAAAAAAAATTATGTTACTGTGACGATGGACCACTGGTGAACTCGAGGAAGCTGTAAGAGGCTCAGAAGGAGCCGAAGATGTCTCATCCAATCACATTTCGGAAGAATGTTCTAGAATTCCAACGTGTAGCTTCGCGATTGGATAATGTTAATAACTCCCTGTATGCGGATTGGAAGACTGTAATGATGATTTTGTTCTCACTAAAAACTATAAATACCTGACAATTTTGTACTATGATTGACACTGTTTGGAATAATATTCCTTTCATTAGTCTTCTGTCTTCTTATTGCGACTTGGAAGGGTTTTGGTGTTCTAGTGCTCTGTTGTATGCGGTATATCGAGAAAAATCAGTTTCAAGATATAACAGTTACCAAGTGTTTTATGATCTCATGACTATTTTAGACTTATGTTTACAGATTAATTTTTATGGTAATATATTAATTTGTTTAGCTTTGTTTCTTACAATGATACTGAAAATAAACAATCCGGGGTGTGGGATCGAGGATGCACACTGTTGAGGAGTCCCATATTAGGACGAAACAGACAGTCAGTGATTCTAGGTTTTCCATGGTGGTCTAGCTTCAATTGACTCATGATTTCAATCGGTGAAATTTCTACAATCTCCACAAACCCCTTTCTGTAGTAGGTTTATTTATTACATAATTAGACCGAAATTATTTAAAGTAAAAGTTTATGTATAACTTTTTATCATTTAATAAGTGGGTATTTTATAGGATTGTAGTGAAATGTATCTCTTTTACAGATAAGTTTCATAATTTACACCTGTATTTAATTTCATTCAACCAACCATTAAAGACCAAGAAGCATCGAGTAGCTAATGCAGTTGTTAGAAAATGGGTACTAGGTAAGAATGGCAAATCAATTGATGAAGTAGTAAAACTTCGTCAGTTGAGATGGCTGGGACATGTGTTACGTATGTTCAATCACCGACTACCTCGACGTGTGATGTTTTATGGTGTAGAAGTAGGTTGGAAGAAAGCTAGGGGTGGTCAGACTGAAACATGACACAAATCCATGAGGTCACTGACAAGTGGACTGAGTCATGTTTTTAGGTGTGGACTACCTGGTTGGGATTTGCGAGACGATAGTAACCGATGGTAAGAGACCTTCAATGACATGGCTCAAAATCGTTTGCAATGGTGCAGGTGCATCTACTCTTTGTGTTCTCACAAATTCTAATCTTCTGAATTCTCCTTGTGTCTTTTTTTCTCTTTCCAAATTTACTTCACTGGATTATACTCCTTGAATAACATCCCTAGTGTTTCTGGTTACTGCTCATACCCTTACTACCTCTACCACTACGGGATTTGAATGGACAACTGCATCTCTGTTCTAATGTGGTATGGCAACTCGAACTGATGTATGTACGTACGTACGAAGTTCTACGTTGTTATTGACTGACATATCGTTTTAATATGAATTTTCTTATCAATCAGCATCCATCAATCCATCAGGTAGCGTACCCTAGAATATTTAAGTCCTTGGCAATTCCTTAGCATTTAGGTCTCTTAACAAGCATCGAGTGGATTGTATTTCTAAATTCAGTTAATTGGCGGTATTGTGTAAACATCTTTTAAAGTTTTCATGGTCTAGTTATTTCATACCTAATATGGTTGAAGTCTATTGATCAATGATTTTCACTAAAGCTCCAGAAGTTACCTCCAAGTCCTAGATTCTATCAACGGTAATGTCGTGAGGTGTTCTATACTATAACTAAATAGTTGTTCATTGCTTTCCGGTTCTTAATGACTGTTTAACTAAGATCAGTCCGTGATATAAACAATGAAATCCAACTATCGTTACAAACCCATTAAAGTATTAGATGTTTTTTTAAAATATTAGCATGAAAAAAGTGGTAAAAAAGATGTCTGACCTTGTCATACCACATCTACATGATTTTGGTGAATTAATTAACACCATCATCATCTTCCATCCACCATCTCCAGTTTCGTCTTCTTTCTCAAAAGTGAATTTGTATGTGCCATTTATTGTTTTAAACGTTAGGAACGAAATTAGAGCTAAGAAAATACACTATTATGTGTTAAATTTTCAATTTTCCTTTTACCATCATTTTCGGCTACCCCGCCCCCAAACTATCATGTATTATTGAGTGTAAACTTTTATGTTGGTATTTCACGTAGAGTTAGATAGTGGGCTGCATTGAAATCCAGGATACGCGTTTCTCTGTATCTGAAGCTCGTCAGTTAGGTAGACCTAGATACTGGTTTTTATGTTCACGTTGAGATTTGAACCTTCAACTTCAAACCTCTAACACGTTCCTTACTGAGCCACTGAGTTCAGGTTAGCTACAAGCTTGTTTAATAAGAGAGAATTTTACTTCGTAATGGTTTGAATCTTCCCGTTAACATTGAGGAATTCAATTGATTAGTTGCTTTTTAATATAAATTCATTGGGAGGTAATAAAATCGCTGGAATCACTCAGTCATAAGTGTTTAAGTAAGGCTGGTTCATAATTATCAAGTACAAGTGTTACGACCGCAATTTTAATATTTAATGTTGTCCATTAATTAGATGCCCAACTAATGTAAAATTATTCATTTAAATGTTTCTATGTTACTGAAAGTGTTCAGTTAAGTTTCCTAATATTACTAGAGATTTTGAGTACGAGAGTTTGCTTAGAAGTAATTTATTCTGTTATGAAGTATAAAGATTTTGTAGTACAACCTTGGATGTGTTAGATAACATGGATCCCAGAAGTTCCATAGTGGTCTAGCTTTAATTGACTAATGAGTTAAACTATTAAATAACTAATTATCGTGGTTGAGATTATGAGTTAATTGAAACCAGAACACCATGAAAAACCTGGAAGCACTGGTTGTCCGTTTCGTCCCATTGCGAGACTCCTAAGCAGTGTGTATCCACGATCTCACCTCGTGAGATTCAAGCCCATGACCTATCGGCCTCGCGTGCAAGCGCTTAAACATTAGACCACTGTGCCGGCATCCAACGCTGTTATTGTCGAACTTCAACCAATCCACGAAATTGAGCGACACATCCACCATTGTCTTCAGTAGGTTAATATCTCACAACAGACACGATTGAACTCCACTGATTACTGCTTCTCACTAGAACTCCAAGAAATACCTCTCGGAGATCATCATCAGTGAGCATATGTTAATTAATATCATAAGTGTTTTTGTGGATATTACAGTAATTTTAATAGTTGAGATCATGAGTCAATTGAATCTCTACATTCTCCACAAAAACCCCTTTTTGATGGCTAAATATGTTTTCTTTTTTTAAATTCGTTTCTTTATCAGTGACCGTATATGAATGAAAAATATGGAGATAATTGAATTTATGTTTGATTGTTCACAACCAATATTTGAAATATATTAATAACTATACAGATAACCTTGAAGAACTTAAGAATACATTAATTCACTTGATATTGTTTTTACTTGAATCTTCCCACTGATGTTTTGGACTTCAATTGATCGGTCTCATGTTGGTATATGTGCATCCTGTGCGGATTACCTCGATATTGCCTTAATTCACGAGTATTATAGGCAAAGATGGATAGTGGGTAGCAGTGGAATCCAGGACGCGCGTTTCGTCCTATTTGTAACTCGTCAGCTAGATGCACCTGTATCTCAGAGTTGATGTTGACTCTAGGACTCGAACCCAGTACCGTTCACTTCAAACACCATCGCGTTATTCACTTAGCTACTGAGTCCATCCAGTTGACGATTCGCAAATATGGCGAAACGCCTGTCCTGAATTCCACTGCTAGACACTATCCATCTTTGCTTATTAAGAATAGTTTGTCTAAATCGCTATATTCATTAAAAATACCTGTCATTAACGGGATCTGAAATGATTTAAAAAGCTTTTTATTTAATCTACAGAACGACTGGTCGTCGAAGCTTCACTTTAATGGACCAATATAAGTAAGAAAGATTGGTTCAGTGAGGAGTTCTCTTTTAGGCGAATTCATTTTCAAGGCTGTACAATCGCAATTACATATTTCTTTATTTTTTCAGGATGATAATAATTACAATAATTAATTTATACTCTTTTTCCTTTATAATCGTTTGTTCCCCCTTCCATCTTCTCTTTAAACTTATTCCCAACTAGTTTATTTCTGTTCCTATGATCTTTCTGATTGCATTTAATCTTAATTTCAACGTTTAATCTTATCATACTGAGCCATCTTTTCTCAATGATAATTTCCCTATCTTTATGATGAATATTTAAGACCTTAACAATCGAATGATTATTAGTTACCCCTTTTTTAAATACCTTTGTTTGTTCATATCGCAGAGGCTCGGATTGGTGTTCTGAACTTAACTGGGTAGGCTAGGCGGAAAGCGGGACCAATCAGGACTCTAGGCTGCTCGCACTTGCTTTACGTGTCCTTGGTTCGATTGATAAGCTCTTTAATCGGCGGTCACATGTTATAAGACCTACCTCACTGTTACCATGTATAACAGAAATTTATTATCATTATTATTGTACTGATTATCATCTTGAAAAATAAGTATATATGTATTTGCGATCGTACAGCTATGAAAAAGAATTCCCTTAAAACACAACTCTCCATTGATCTGATCTTTCTTATTCAATATAAATTACTTGAATGGTTGTAATACGATTAAACTTAAGTTTATTGTTAAATAATGATGAGTAAACAGAATACATCCATTAAGAGAACTCTTCGTCGAACCAATATTTCTTATTGATTAATGATTAGATACATTTTTTTTACTAGTTATAACTAATAGATCAAAATCACACATACTACTAATATTTATTTTATAAGTAGAATTTGTTCTATTTCCATACTCCATTTAATGTGTTTATGATCCTATAACCTTGACAGCAAAATAAAACTTGATCTGATCGCTAAAGTAAAAATAAGATGACACACAGATCATATACTATAGAGCTTGACAAGATATCACAAATCAAATGACTCATATTTATTTAGATGGTGGTTGGAGGTAGTCAACAGGAAACTCTGGACCCGGGTTTCGTGCTACTTGGCACTCGTCAGCAAGGTGTATCTGTAATCTTGAGACAAGCATGACATTGATCACCACCAAGTGATCAATCAATTGTGACTCACATTTTTATAATGAAAACAAATTCAGTATTAGAACATGATTGAATGGTTCTAATGTTTTTTTTTCACCCTATCTATTATGAATCATT